TTTGGGGATTTCCCCCCGGACGGGGATTTGAACCCCCAAAAGCCGGACATGTCCGGGAAAATCCGGACGTATGGTAACCCTAGTGAATACCCACTTCGTCAGACACATGTGGTGGAAATTTCCAGAGGCAGGTATAAATATGCAGGCAAGAATCAGTCTAGAGTTAACAAGGTTAGTTCAATCAGGGAGGATGAGGCCATCTTCTAGCAGTTGAGGTGTGAACACCAAGGGAGGAGAAACTGCTTTTGTAGTTGGCTAGCCATTCACAGTCTTTGTTTAATCCTGAGCTGATGGTGTCAAATTTGCAAATGAACTGAAGTTCAGCAGTTTCTCTTTGAAGTCTGGTCCTGAAGTTTTTTTGCTGCAGGATGGCTACCTTTAAATCTGCTATTGTGTGTCCAGGGAGGTTGAAGTGTTCTCCTACAGGTTTTTGTATATTGCCATTCCTAATATCTAATAAAAAAACCTGATCACGTGGGGAAGAAAATTATCTTAGCTAGAATCCTTTTCCAGAGCCTCTCAATGCTGATTATTAGAGTGCAGGCAAGTGTAAGAGGGCTAGAAATTTACGCTTTGTGCAATGACAGCTTGACATATGTATGTCCCCAAAACTGGGGGTCAGGAGGAGGAAAACGTCCATTAGCTTTTTGTGTTTCAGTGGCCACCTCTGACCAAAGTCATCCCAGTGCTTTTCCGGTAGAGCTGTACATCTGGTCTGCATCTGATTGTAATAGGTACTAACAGCCTCCTGCAAGGTCATGAGTACCTTCCACTTCCAGTCTTCTCTCGCTCTTATTGATATCAAACAGGAATTACTGATTGGAGTCACACTGTTAAACGCTAGTGTAAGTGAGATCAGCATCCAACCCTGTATTTCTGTTGCAGCGTAATTACAAGTTGCATGTGCCCTCTATAATGTCACTAAATGAATATCTTTAATCCTTATTGTTTGGGCACGTTTTAAGAAGCCTGCCATCTCAAATTCATTTTCTAGACTGAATAGTCTGTATGGTAAATAAAGCAACCTTGCTGTTTATTTTCTGTGTTTTAGGTCAGATGATAATAGCCTTCTCAGTGTCCATGGTGATTGGATTGGTGATTGGAGGGATAATCTGGGCTTTGTTTACTTGCCTGTCCCGTCGCAGAGCCAGTGCGCACATTTCGCAGTGGAGCTCGTCAATCTCTAGCCGCCGTTCCAGACCTTCTTCTCAGGGCCATGCTGCCAACAGGACTGGATTCTACCGTAACAACAGCTGCGAACGCCGTAGCAATCTCAGCCTGGCCAGCCTCACCTTCCAGCGGCAAGCCTCCCTGGAGCAAGCCAACTCCTTCCCAAGAAAGTCAAGCTTCCGAGCCTCCACTTTCCACCCCTTTTTGCAATGCCCTCCGCTCCCTGTGGAAACTAACAGTCAGCTGGTTACTCTGGCTCCCACCAGCACCACCACTACCCTTGTGGGGAACCCCACCAACAGCTTAACTCGTCCTGAATTCCACTGGTCCAACAACAGCCTCCGCATCTGTCATTCAACACAAACACCTCCTCCTGCCTATGAGACCATCATTAAAGCTTTTCCAGACTCTTGAACTGGAGTCTTCCTTTATTTCTTTAAATGGAGGACTCTCTGTCGTCTGACGCAGATTTTCTGTATGCTCTGAAGGCCTCTGGGAAGCTCCCTGGTGCCGCGGCATGCCGCAGGCAAACAGAAGGGACATGCGCAGATGACGCTGATTTGCTAGGGCAAGGTGTGGTATCCTGCAGCCACAAGGACCTTGCACCCCCCAACTTAACTGGTCTGCAGTGTAATTCTGTATTTATATTATACCTTTAATTTGTAATCATTGTAAGGCTTTTAGTTTAGAAGAAAGAAACTTCTGCAGTCTACAAAACTGGCAACTTAAATGAAGAAACGAGCCACATTAAGAACCATTTGTTGATAATCGCTTATTAATTTCCTGCAAAGTTCACTCATTCATTGTGTTTGTTAGACATCCTGGTTTTGTACATTTGTCTGTGAGTCTTACATTTTCATTAGATACTTTCCTTCATCTCTTACATCCTGGGCTGCTTCTATGCCTCCTGAACCACAGGGTTCCCTATAGCTCAGGAATCCCTTGGCAGAAGTAGAGTTTAAAGTGATTTTAGTATCACAGTCTTGTGGCAGGTACTAGGGCCCCTGTTTTGACATTTGTAGGGGGCTCCAAATGACCACTGGCCAGTCCTGTTTACAACAAATTCCCACAAATATGGCAACAAAGATGGAGTATCCCAAAATATGTGCAATGGGAGAAATTTCTAACCAACTGAAAAAAGAATAACTCTATAAAAGGACTTCATCCTGCAACCTAACAGGGATCACATTTTATTACCCTATAAGGTTACAAGGATACTGGTCTTGGTCCCCAAGATAAACAACATGAATGGCAACTGTTTTTTATTTGCGCTTCCTGTTTCTCTGTGGGAATACTCATTTCCTTTCTTTAAATTGTTTCTCTATTTGTATCAGTGGTTCATCCTTCCTGGTGTGTAATACAGTGAAATCCTGCATTTTGCTAAAAGAAAATTTCTTAGACGTCTAGGGTGAAATCCTGGCCTGACCAAATTCAATGTCACAACTCCCATTGACTCCAGGATTTCAACCCTTTAGTCTATAATTATGAAACTGCTTTAGAGTATGAAGATGCTTAAGACAGATTAATGCCCATTTTTGACTATCAGACCTGTAGAGCTATTATAACATACTGGCCCACTGGCTCAGAGATGACTGATTGCACTCACATGTGAGAAGTCCAGGCTTGGAAGCAACGGAGATAGCACAGACACATGGAGCCTGATCCAACTCCCATTGACTGCAATGGGAGCTGGATCATTTCTAAGGTGGAGCATTTGAACACAGAGAAGGGCATTTCGGTTTAGAAAGTACCACCTGCTGTGCAGGGCCGGATTAACGCTCCTGTGGGCTATTAGATTTTGTGGGGCCCCTCCCCTGTATAGAAGTCTTTTTCCTGGGAAGGAGTTTGGTGAAGGAGGGGGGCTTGGGCAGCGGATTGGGGTGCCAGAGGAGGTGTGGGGTCTGAGAGGGAGTTTGGGTGCAGGAGGGGGATTCTGATCTGGGGCAGGGGGATGGGGTGGAGGAGGGGGTGCGAAGTACAGGTTCCAGCCGGAAGGCGCTTGCCACAGGCAGCTCCCGGCCAGCGGTGCAGCAGGGCTCAGGCTGCCTG